TATAGTTTACACGTAGATGCACAACCCTGCAGAAAATGATTATAGAAAAGGTGGCACCTCATGATGCTAGTGTTGCAAAGAGTTAAAAGAGAAAGAGTAATTCTTTCTCTCTCTCCCCCTCCCCTATTTCCTTCCTTCCCTCCCTCTCTTTTTCCCCCTTCTTTTCTCTCTTTCTCTTCTTCTTTCATTAATAATACTTATATCACAAATATTATAAATTATACAATATGTACCTTATAATCAGGGTTGGCAACGTTACCTTATAAAAATAACTTGTTACCGTTATCGTTCTTTTTTCCTAAAAAGTAACTCGTTACCGTTACCGTTTTTCAAAACGTAACGAGTCGTTACTTTTTCGTTACTTTCTTTTCTTGACACTAATAGAATATTATAGTATTTTCATTATGCGCACTCAGTGCACATTGAAGCCGTTGTACACAACTCTAAATGTAAAAATGAGATATCTCAATTGATGAAGTGCCTAAAATATATTTTATCAAATTACATAATAAAATGTATTGAGAATTTCGCGGTTTAGCTCGTTTCTATATTTTTATTAATCATACATCTTTACGTCGATTGTACAGCGGCTTTAAAGTGCACTGAAATCTGCCAATAAAAAACGCCATTATATACGTAATTAAATTCCTGCGGTAAATACAAAAAAGATGTCAGAATTTTATTTTTTACTAGAGAAATAAAACTCAAAAACTATAATAAATATATATAAATGTATATACGCTCTAGTTACGATTAAAACTTTTATGTAAATAGAAATAGAGTAACGATAAAAGTAACTAGTGAAATCGTTACCATTACCCCAAAAATGTAACTGCGTTATCATGAACGTTACTCAGAAGAAAATGTAACGTCGTTACCCAATCGTTACCGAAAAAAGTAACTTATAACGGTAACGACGTTACAAATAACGCGTTACTTGCCAACCCTACTTATAATCATTCTAAATATCATATATGCAACATGCAATTAATCTTATAATACTGTCGGACTTTCATACCTTGTCCAACTGATCTTTATCCAACTATTAATCAACTATTATCTTGTCTACAAAAAAATACAAATTTTTTCATTAAACATACGCATTAATTATTTACATATGTTCAGTATTAAATTATGTTTGGGTACATTATTGGTACGTTATTAAAGAAATTATTTATAAAAGTAATAGATAACTTTGATAATATTTTATTCATAGTATTTATACAATAGTTTAAATAAACAAATAATTGTCTTTGGATTCTTGTCAATATGAATAACGAGAAACTAAAATACCAATGACGATGAGAAATTGGCACGATAAGTGATGCGTATTATTTGTTCTGCGCAAAACTCTTATATTTTTAATTTACAATAATTCAATCAAAGTTTTATTATAAAAATACATTTGCCTTGAAAAACTTATTGTCACAAAATTGAAAATTTTGAATAGATAATGTGTGCCTTCCAACAAGCGATACAAATGACATGTGGATGTGACACAATGGATCATTACATCCTTATTGTTTGCTAATGTTAAACATCACTGTGTGGCACTGTGTTGCTTGTTGGAAAGCATACTATATCTCTCTCCTCCTCCTCCTCCCCCTCCTCTCTCCTCCTCTCTCTCTTTGTCTCCTCTGTGCAAGTATGTGTGTTTATATATATACAGGGTGTTTCCAAATTAAATGGCAAAACTTCGGGAGCGTGTAGAGGAGTAAAAAACTAAGAAAAAAAGTCCTATAGACATATGCTCGTTTTTGCTCCGTTTCAGAGAAATCGAAAAAAAATGTTTTTTTTACCTGCAAGATTAAATGGGGACCGTTTTCTAAATTTCTTGGAGAATGAATTTTCTGACTATTTAGAAAACATCCCATTACAACAACGTACTGAAATGTGGTTTCAATTAGATGGATGCCCTGCTCATTACAGCAGAGTCGCTAGAACCTGGTTAGATAGAAAATTCCCACAACGATGGATTGGACGTGGAGGAGCAGTACATTGGGCAACTCGTTCGCCCGACTTAACGCCATTAGATTTCTATGCATGGGGTACTCTGAAGCAAGAAGTTTATTCTTCGCCTATTCAATCAGAGCAACATTTGAGAAATCGTATCGTAGCTGCAGCGAACAGAATATCGCAAGAACAGTGCCTGGCTGCTACAAGAGCCGTGTTTGACAGATGCAATGCTTGTATTGCTGCAAGAGGTGCACATTTCGAACAAAATCTTCATTAAAAAGTTTATAAATAAAATAATTAAAATAATAAATTAAATATATTTTTTTCTTTTTTCGTGATTTCCTGCGAAACAAAGCAAAAAGGAGCATATGTCTATAGGACTTTTTTTCTTAGTTTTTTACTCCTCTACACGCTCCCGAAGTTTTGCCATTTAATTTGGAAACACCCTGTA